TCGGTTAAATGTCCGACTCTTGATTTTAGCTCTCAGATCATGATCTCATGGTTTGTGAGTTCGAGCCCTGTGTCAGGCTCTGCACTGACAGCGTGGAGCCTGCTTGGATTCTCTACCTCCTTCTCTCTGCCCCTCCCCTGCTCACACAGTCTCTCTTCGAAGGGAGGGAGGGAAGGAGGGAGGGAGGGAGGAAGGAAGGAAGGAAATCTGTGGTGGGAGTCCAAGGTACTCAGGACGACATCCCTGGGCCTGGTCTGGCTAGGCCAGAATCCTAGCTGGGCTTCTGGCACCTTTCCTGCCCTCTGCTCTGGGCCAAAGAGTCCCCTAGAATGAAAGGAAGCCAGATTTCACTTTCTGTGTTCAACTTTGAAAAAGCCACATTCCTTGAAAACGTCTCTGCTCCCAGACCAGCCTTCACCACATCTGCATCCCAGGAATGCCCAGGCAGCCCTGGTGGCAGGGGACCTGTTCCCGGTGATTCTGCCTTGAGGGTCTGAGAGAGGACTTCAGTTCCCTGATGAGTCTCACAATGTGTCAGATCAGATCGAGGACTGTTGCCCTCGGGGAGGTTTGTGGAGGCCTTGGGGCTCTTGCTCTGGTATTTGTCTGTTGCCTCTTTCCAGCAATATGGCTTCTTGTGTCTGCCTTCCCCTTGAGTGGCGAACCCATCTGGACAAAGTTGTGTTGCCTTCATTTCTCCCACTGAAGGCAGTTCCTGTTATTGCATAAGTTTTCACTGGGTCTATCCAGACCATTCATCTAAACAAATATCAAGGGACCGGGGCAGGAGAATGTTTTTCTGCAATCCGTCAGTCCTTAAACAAACAAACAAACAAACAAACAAACCCATGCGTGGTGGTGTAATTCCACTGCAGAACCCAAGGCACTGACCCCTGAGTGGCAGACACAACTATTTTGAGGAGTGTTGACCTTCACAAATATTTATACACTCTCGGCCAACACTTAACACGGAGTTATAAGGAAACTTAAGTGTGGCTTGAAAGCATCTGTAGGAGGAAAAGCAGAAGAGTTGAATTCCTCCCTTTCCTCTCTCTGGCCCGATCTTTACTTAACAACAAAAATGCCAGTGTCTGGTTCTAAAAGAAATAGCTGTTTTTATGGAGAAAGTTCTCTTTGTTGATCTTTGAGAGTCAAATTCGCAGGAGGCTCACAGACAACTAGACCTATTGGTGAAGGAAGAGAAGCAAAGTCCTGCTCTATGACATCATGGTTGGTCTTTTGGATGGCTAGCCCATATCCCGAACCTATCTAGGAACCCACAAGTTGGAACTATTAGGAAATTTCATGGTTTTTATAGCTCTGCCAGGATGTAATATTCTTTATTATATTACACTGTCCATGTTTGTCAACTCAGAAAGGAAAGGTATCCCAGAAATCTCTGCCTTTGACATGGAGAATGATTCCAAGCTTGACTTCGGGGAGATCATGGTCCCCAGCACAGAGAAGACATTTTGGGGGAAGTTTACTTTGCACGGACACAGGCCAACTGATGTCCAGTAGGGAAAACTCCAGACTGAGACTATACGTAGGAGGATCATATAGCTTACCGTCTAACCCAGGACATCTTCAGTAGTGCAAAGAACCAGAACCAGGGCCTTGAAGTCTTCAGAAGGTTGACTCCTACTCAAAACTGGGAAGAGAGGAAGGAGTGTGCACCCAGGAGGCCCAGGCCTGGGAGCGGGCACACCCCTCTACCCTTTTCCCCAAGTAGATGGGCAGAGCTTAGGCACGTGGCCACACCTAATCACAGTGGGAAATATCCAATAGCTGTGTGCCCAGGGAGTAGACAGAGGATATGGGTTTTTATAAACACATAGGGGCCTTCACCAGACTGTTTTATGATAGGCCAGCCAGGCTGCGTCCTTGGGGTCTTTGCATTTGCCATTCCCACCGTGAGAGTCATTCTTCCCCCAGATAGCTTCCTCCTCACTCCTAATCTTCCTGCAGGTCTCTGCTTAGAAGACAGCTTAACAGAGAGACAAGCTCAGCAACCCATATGAAATAGTGACTGTCCCTTCCCTTGCACCCTGTACTCCCTATCCCCTAACTATGGAACAATAATTTAGCTAGTCAAGGCCCTTCCTGGCTACATGGAAGAGAAGCAGATTCTGATCAAAGTGAAAAATACTGTAAGAGTATCAGGAACTTCTCCAACCAACAACCAAACACAGGGAATCAAATGACAAAGCTGAGACCTCGTCACAAGGACAGTGTTGTTTGGATGTCATCACCCCAGACACGTGGCTGCCATGCCACCCATTCTCAGCTTTCCCTTGGAGTCACTCTGTCAAGGGTGGGGGCATCTGCCTGGCATTAATGAAGTCATGAGCCTGTACTCAGTTGCCAGGGATAAAGGTGGGAGCTATCTGGTGGGGGATTAGGCCTTGATTCCCACCTGTCTATGAATTCCCATCTCATCCCAAATGAGAGGGGAACCTGGAAGCTGGGTGGCCCACATGAGAACTAGCCACCATAGCTAGGCATGGAATTCTGTGTTGATGGCATCGTTCTTATGGTATTAAACCTTTTCTGTTATGTATTTTTGTTGCTAAGAAGTTTGCTGTCCATGGGGCACCTGGGTGGCTCAGTCGGTTAGGCATCCAACTCTTGATTTCAGCTCAGGTCATGATCTCATGGTTGTAAGATCGAGGTCCATGTCAGGCTTTACACTGAGTGTGGAGCCTGCATGAGATTCTCTCTCTCTCTCTCTCTCTCTCTCTCTCTCCATCTCTCTCTGACCCTCCCCTGCTTATGCTCATTCTCTCACGCACTCTCTATCTCAAAATAAACATTAAAAAAATTGCTGTCCATCTACCTTATGTTCCCTTGTGGATTATTTTCTTTTTACCTTTGGGTTGCTTTTAAGCATTCCTCTGCATCTAATATACTACAGTTTCACCACATGGCCAGACAGGAATTTATTTACTCTGTTTAAGACTCATTGTGCCTTTCCAATATAAAGATGTTTGCTTTTCTTCACTTCTAGAAAACTACCCCCCCACACACACTTTATATATTCAAATATTATTCCCCCATTATTCTCTTCAGAAATTCCTATTAGAAATACACTGGACTTTTCATTCTGTCTTCCATTATCTCCTTATAGAAAGAGAGCCCTTTGTTTTGAGCCATCTCACTCTCTGGGATGTATTTTGGGAAGTTTTTTCAAATTTGTTGCTCAGTTCTTTAATCCTGCCTTCGGTTGTGTCTAATCTGATGTTTAACCCATCCATTTCATTTTTATCTTGTGTGATTCTGGTTTTATAAAGTTCCATTTTGTTCTCTTTCACATCCACCTGTCCTTTTTTTCATGTTCTTTCTCCATAATGTCTTTTCTGTAGCATATCTATTTCTTACTTTATTTCTTCCATTATTTCAGGTATTCTTTTTTGTAATCGCAGAGACTACTCTTACCATGGTCCCTGTGAATTCTTTTATATTCTGACTTTGGGGATAGTTTATTCCTTTGAGTGCTTGATTTTTTTCTTGAGGATTCTTTTCAGCAGGAGGTTTTGTCTTGCGTGGTGGTGGTGGTTTCGTGTGTGTGTGTGTGTGTGTGTTTAACCTAGAGTCCTCAGCACCCTTCTCTGTGAAGACTTCCCTTCAGCACGGTCTTATGTTCCATTCCTCCAGGTACCTGAAATTACAGCAAGAGTTGTTCTGCAAGCTGAAAAAGGCAGGTAGGGAGCATGAAAAAAATTGAGAACTTAGCAGATCACCTCAAAATGGTAGCCCCTCTCCTCCCAGTATAGGTGACTGAGCGGAGTCGGTACTGTTTGTCTCTTCACCTTACAAACTCACATGTCCTGTCTTACTTCAGGCCAAGAGGCCCAGGAACACAAGTTAATAGGAAACCCAGTTCAAATAGGCTTTAAACAATTAGGCAGTTTCCTGGCTCATGTGATTAAAACAGGCATACAAGTGACCTCATGCTCTCGTATCCATCAAATGTCCATTTTAGATTCAGAACCTTTCTCTGGAGTCCTGCTGTTCATCTCCCTGCAACACCCCTACCAGACTGATCCTGTAGAATCCTAGCTCTGAACATGGCACTCCCTGGCTCAAACACCGTCACAGGCTTACTGAACGCCTCTGGTAGAAAGTCCCATTCTTCCTGGTTGGCGTTCCAGGCCGTTCACGTCCCCAGCTTTGTTCTTCCTGATAACTGACCTTCTCCGAACTCCCAGTGGGATTTGCCGACCGCACTTGCCTGCAGACACTGTTCTGTATTTGAGTTAGTTGTGTGCATGTCTTACACCGCCCCTTGGATTCTCTAAGTTCCTGGAGGATGCAAGCTCTCTTCCTACTTCCTGCTGTCGGCCTAGCAGAGGGCATGTCACCTTAAGAGCAGGTGACCTAAACAAATGCAGCCCCCCTCACCCCCCCATTCCTGGAGGTTGGGCTGGGTTAGTGGCTCCCGCTTCGCATAGAGCAGGTAGGAGGCTTCAGCAAACTCTCACGGGGCTTCCTATCTTAGGAGTCAGCGCTTCAGTGCAGGTCAGAGGGCTCAACGCTGGAAGCGAGGCGAGGAAGCCGTGCCCCTCATAGCTCCCTGGCAGCTCCAAGACTGTCCCTGTTTGAAGTATAGCAAACCCTGCCTGTGTAGCTTTTACTGTGAATGCAGTGCCTTCCAGCTCAGGAGCCCAAGGGGTGCCTGGGGGCATCTGCACACCCTTTCCGTAGGCCTTGCATACAACAGGCTCACAACAATCATCTGTTGCTTGAAAGCATCCATTCAAGTCCATAATCACACACTGTGTGCCAGTGTACCCAGCACTAGCCCCAGAGTGAACGAGATAGCCAAGCAACCAGGCATGTGACGGAGCTGTTTGGTGACCGCCTTTGTGTCTAGCAGGAGCCAGGTTCACGTCTGTCCTGAGCCTCATACTGCGCTCGAGCCACAGCAAACCTTCCCAGGGTAAGTTTTAAGTGAAAGAATGAATGGGTTAACAGGCGCATCTTCTGATTTCCTCCAACAGATTATAACAGCAGTGAGTTGAAAACAGCCTGCAGGAAGCATGAGCTTTATGTGAGCTTCCAGGACCTGGGATGGCAGGTGAGTTCTCTGGGCAGCAAGGGGGACAAAGGTCCCTTCACAGCAGCCGTTTCGTAGCTTAATGGCAGCAGCTTTGAGCTTTAGGGCTGGGGTGATTCCTTGTGTGAAGGTCCTGGGAGCCTTTCCAAATGCCTGGGTGTCTGGAGGAAGGCAAAGGAAGGGGCAGCCTACTTGTGCACCGAGACCCCTGGCACCTTCCCAGGGAGCCTGGTTCCCAAGTTCTGTGTCCCTAAGAATCCATACTACTGTCCCCAGTGTTCTTCCCCCATTCTTTTCAAAGTCTACAAGGCACGTGCTTATTTAGGCATTTAAACAAATTGTGTGTGTGTGTGTGTGTGTGTGTGTGTGTGTGTGTGTGTGTGTAAGATTTTATTTTTAAGTAACCTCTACACCTAATGTGGGGCTTGAATTTACAACTCTAGGAGTCGCACGCTCTCTGAATGAGCCAGCCAGGCACCCCACCAATTTTGTGTTCTGAGAAAGCGTCAGAGAAACTGACCTAACAGTTCTCCAATGGCTAGAAACTGACTCACCCAAACTGTCTAGAAGCACACAAATGCGGAGTTCCACAGCTGAGAGCCACCACTAGTTTATAAGTAAATCCTAGGTGACAAGGGATAGGAGATGCTGTCTGCTCTACTCAGGTGGCATCATGATGACAGGGCTTCCTCAAGGCCCCCCCTGGGGACCATGTGCAGAAAGCCGACCACCTGTGTGCATCCTGGTCCAGCAGGTGGGCAGCAGCTAAAGCCCCTGCAGGCTGTGGAAGGGGTGAGGGCTCTGGAGCCAGACGGACCAGGTTCACACCCTAGTTTTGCCACGTGAACGTGAACTTGGCCTCCCATCATTGGTCTGTGTAGCTGTGGTATGTGAGGAGTACCTTCTCACAGGATTACTGAGAACACAGATGATAGAAGGAATGTATGCTCATCACATGTCATGTCCCTTTGCTTTCGATTAAGGACTGGATCATCGCACCCAAGGGCTATGCGGCCAACTACTGTGATGGAGAATGTTCTTTCCCACTCAACGCACACATGAACGCCACGAACCACGCCATTGTGCAGACGCTGGTGAGCTCCTGGGGACTTTCACTTTAAATTTCTTGTTAATTTTTGAGAGAGAGCGAGCGAGCCAGAGCGAGCCTGTGCACAAGCAGGGGAGGAACAGAGAGGAAGACACAATCCGAAGCAGGCTCCAGGCTCTGAGCTATCAGCACAGAGCCCAATGTGGGGCTCGAACCCACGAATCGTGAGATCATGCCCTGAGCTGAAGTCGGATGCTTAACTGACTCGGCCATTGCCCCTCCACCCACTCCAACCCCCACCGCCAACTTTCACTGTATAAGTAGGAGTCAGCCAGGGCTAGGTAAGGCTTCTAATGGTGCCTCTCCCCTTCTGTTTTTGAACAGGTTCACCTTATGAATCCCGAGTATGTCCCCAAACCGTGCTGTGCACCAACCAAACTCAATGCCATCTCAGTTCTTTACTTTGATGATAACTCCAATGTCATCTTGAAAAAATACAGGAATATGGTCGTCAGAGCTTGCGGATGCCACTAACTCAAGACCAGTCGCTGGGGACACAGATGCTGCCTTGGGTTCCCAGATGACGTCTGCCTTAAAAAACAAAAAAACAAAAAAAAACACAAAACATTCAAAAGCACAGTGAAGGGGGGGAGGCGAGGCTTTGAAGCCGCTCAGTGCTGGTTGGTGCCTTACCGCCCACGGAAGATTGTAAAGGACCTCATTAATAACTCGCTCACCCGGTAAATAACGTGAGTAGTTGTTGGTCTATAGGAAGCAGAGTTTGGATGTCTGTAGTACAAGGTCTGGTTAATGACAGAAATATAACGTTGAAGGGTTCCCCCCTCCAAAAGGAAAAAGAGCCCACCAAAATTAGTTTTAGCTTTAGATCAAGCTATTTGTGGTGTTAGTGTCTCTCTAACAATAAATAGGGAAAATAATCTTAAAAGGAGTAAGAGTATTCTCGGCTAAAGTATCAGCCCGTTCAGTGGTATTTGTCGGAGGTAGACCTACAGATAATGGAAACTGGGAGAAAAATGCCTCTGTTCACAGATTTCATTCCAGAAGGTGAGTTTCATGTAGGGTCAGCAGCCTGGGCCGTCCTCAGGGCTGTGTGGAAGTGCCTTTTGTCTCCGTCACTGCCGTTAGTGTTTGTGCTGGAGTTGTGTTGGTGTGAAAATCTACTTATTTCGGTCCAACAAACCGTGCCATTTGCACACCTCGGACCCCCCACCCCCACCCCCACGTTTGCTGTTTTCTTTGCTAAGGCCACAGGTGGAGTGAGTGGGCACTGTGGTGAGGCTACAGGGGCCAGGAGCATTCTGGGTAGCCCGCACTTTCACTGTGTAACATGTGAAAGCAGTTCTGTGCCTCTTCTCCTCTGGAACGGCTCTTGGGAAGCCCATGAACGTCGGGAACGTCGGCTCTGGTATCTCACTTATCTCAGTAGAACGGTTCTCTGCCTTTTGCTGGACAGCGTGCCGGGTGGCGGGGTTAGAAGCAACAAAGGAAACGAAATGAGGAAGGAAGCCCCCAGCAGCTAGGAACGGGATGGGCACGCCCTCGTGAACCCAAATCCCGTTTCTCTTGTAGAAAGTAAGATGCCGATGAAATCGTAGAATGTTTTTAAAGTGTCTCTTTCACAATCATGTACTAGGAAGCCAATTTCATACTAAACTGATTAAATAATACATTTATGACCTAAAACTGTTTGCACTTACAGCTTTTTTGTAAATAGAAACTATAATTTATTGTCTATTTTATATCTGTTTTGCTGTAACGTTTAAGGAAAGACCAGACTTTTTTTTTTTGAAAAAGAGTTTATTTAGAAAGAATCATAGTGTAAACAAATTGTACCACTTGGATTTTCTCTCAATACAAGACTCATGATGCAAAGCTGAAGCCACTCATGAGGATTGTGCTTCTCCAGAAAGTGGGGGTTTGAAAAGAACATCTGTGAACCATACATAATTAATAAAGATTTCCTTTAAGGCAGAGGTTGGCCGAGATCCCGCTGTTGTCTTCTGCCACAGACAGCAGAAGTGGTCTTGTTTCTCAGATTCCCACTCCCAGTTACTGTGTGTCCACTGACCGCAACCCCTGAGCAAGGGATATGGGGCGAAGAGTGTTGGAGACGGAGGGGTTATTAGAAGTGACTTGATGGCAAAGAACATACAGGTACATTATCTTAAGGGAGCCTGGTCCGATGGAAGCTTATTTTCAAGGGTGACAGTAAGACTGCCTACCACCTAGGAGGGCGTGGCTTACGAAGACCTGGCATTGGCAGTGACGTGGCCTGTGTCAGCCCTGACCCAGCCAGCTCCGCCTACTTCAGTCTTTGGTCTGGCGGCCAACTTAATCCCGCTCCTCACACAGCAGCAAGCCGACCTCTTCCAGGGCAAAGTACAATTAGCCTCTAAACGACTCCTTCAAAGCAGGACATGAGCCTGCGTCGAGCTCAGGCCCTGTTGTCCAGCGGTGGGGGGGTTCCCTGGTCCAGATTCCCCAGGCCTGGGAAGGCTCACCTAAGTCCTTTTGCCCCCCACCCCCAACCCCCACCATGGCAAATACAGCCAGAATCTTTCTATGAGTTAACGCAATAGTCAGGACAAGCCTGTGGAACTTTCCATGCCACATTTTCTATGGGAGACGTCAAGTCTTAAAGTTCACATGGACTCTTGGCTTCATGAGAACCTAACAAAAGAAATCTTTCACCCGCGAGTAACAAACGGAAGCATACACACACACACACACACACACACACGCACACACGATTATGGCACCCGCATTGTCTTCCTCAGGCACACGTCAGAAGTACCATTGCTTTCATTATGGCTGACCTCTCGCGATGAGAGAAGTTATTAACAGAAACAGCAAAGCCAGGGGTGGATGTGACGGTATCTTCCAGAGGTGTGGGGTTTCTGTTTTTAGATCTGCTCCAAGTTACTGACCAACTGCAATATTAACAAGTCAGGACCTTCAGATCAGCAGAGTATCAAAACTGCCACCTTTCCAGAACTTGTGGGCAGTTCACAAACGATGCTTTAGATGATGCTTTCACCAGAATCTCTCAGGAGCCAAAAATAGTTCAGCAATTTGATTTTCCTAAACTCTATTTTTAACTCAAAGGAAACCATTTAGATTCATCAAGAGAAGGGTACAGGGCACGACAGATCGCCACTGAAATACTTAAGTTTGCAGAGGGATCATGAGTTATGTATTTACTTAGAGAAACTTAATAATTTGTAGAGTGTGTTGCCTTAAGGAACACACACACAAAGAAGACACCACCAGTTTAGTACATTCGGCTCTCTGGAAACCCGACACGGGGAACCACAACACCTGCAGGACTGAGCCCCAGCACCCCGGGGCCGGATGGCTTGGGGCCGGGCTCACAGCTCGTCCCTCGCCTGGTGCAGGACAAAGTGGTGCAGCGAGTCCAGGTCTCTAGTTCCGCTGTGCTCGCTGACCTGTTTCCCTCCGCGGAAAAGCAGCAACGTGGGATAGCCTCGTACCTTCAAAAGACCAAAAAACATAAATACATATGAGGGCCAAGTGGTCTGGGTCACACAGAAGTTGCTTCTGAAATAAAACCATAAAAACAAACAAAAACCCCCAATAAACACTGTAACCAGAGAAGTTCGAAGTTAAATTAAAAAAAAAATTTTAATGTTTATTTTTGAGAGCGAGAGAGAATGAGCGGAAGAGGGGCAGAAAGGGAGAGAGACACAGAATCCGAAGCAGGCTCCAGGCTCTGAGCTGTCAGGACAGAGCCCGACACAGGGCCTGAACCCATGAACCAAGAGATCATGACCTGAGCCAAAGTCAAACGCTTAACTGACTGAGCCAGCCAGGCGCCCCCGTGATTGAATACATGGTGCGGACCATTTAAAAAGTACAAGAAAGCAAAGCCTTGGGATTATTTACTTTCCAACTTTAAGTACATTCAGGATTAGTGTCAAAGGAAGGACTTTACCCAAAAGCAGGGCTTCTGGAGCTTCCATGCATGTGCCACCACCTGGGGGCCCAGTGAACAGACACGTTACTATGCCACAGGTCCCGGTGGGGCCTGTGCGTTTGTGACAAGCCCCCTGGTGATGCCCAGCCACTCTGTGGACCCCGCTGAGTAGCAGCAACACCCTCAAGGATACACATTTCCAGCTGCTCCTCTGTTCCAAGACTTAAAGGCACCAAAAAAATGGCAGCTTCGAGGAGTGAGTAAGCGATGTCTGTGTTGCATCTATTCCCCGTTTAATGAGGGAACAAACTCCGGAGCCTCCAAGTGTTTTGAGAAAACCGCACAAAACCAAAAATGTGAACTACAAATCTGGGCTAGCAGACTGTGCTAGCCGCTCAGAGAGGAGTCAACAGTTAAGGCAAACCCTAAGCGGAAGCCTGGCTTGCGGGGTGGCCCTTCAGGAGGAAGCGCAGGGTTTGCTCACCCGCTGTACTTTAGAACCGGAGAGGGGCTGAAAAATCAGCCACTTGGGGGCTCCAGACGAAGGCTGCAAGTCGGCTGACTGTCCAGCCGGCAAGCAGCTGTGCCACGGCGGCACCTTGTTCTCAAACGCGGAATCCCTTACCACCCGCCTCCTCTGCAGACAGCAAGAGGAGCTGTGTGACTAGTGGCAGAGAAAAGCCCTACTGTTGATGGAGTGTCTTCTTTTGCTTTTCAAAACGAAAATGAAGCAAGAGCCTCAACCGGACGCAAGGAGCACTTTGCAGAGAAGACGGGTGAGCCCACCGCCAGACGACAGCCCCGTGTGGGCGTGCTCCCGATACTCGGGGTCCCCGCTTCCTTCTGCACACACTCACCGAGTACTTGCTGCAGATACTCCGTTCCGCAGTACAGTCCACCTCAGCAATCTTGACCTCTGCCAAACCAGGGAATTCCTTTCTAGAGAGTTCTTCCCAAGTAGGAGCCAGATTCTTACAATGACCGCACCTAGGGACAGAACGACACAGCTCTGTTGAAGTCCTGGGTCAAGCTCGCTCACCTATGCCTTGCTGCTGAGCCCCGCCTGTTTCGTTTGTATGAGGCGGTCCACGATTGCCCTGAAATGTGTAAAACATCAGATTCTCCCCCTGGGTGCACCAACGCTTCCTCCTCCTCTGTCCCAGACACAGAACTTGAGGTCCATCCGAAGAAGACTTCTGGAGGACCAAATGGAGGCAAGCTGGTCTGAAAGCAAGTTTAGATTTTAAGACCATTTCCAGGATGACGTAAACTAAGCTAGCTGGATTACGAATGAAGCAAATGCACCATGAGTAGGAGCTGATGAACAGAAAAAAAACGGACTCCAGTTTTTTTTAAAGATACTTCATTTCAGATTTGGTTGCTATGGTGTGAAAATGTCACAACTTGAAAGCGCCCCTGAAACTCCATCCATTTGGTACGAGCAGTGAAGTCCACACCATGTTTTGTGCAAACCCTCCCCCTTCCCCAGCACCTCATTCTGTCCTCACACTTGGGCTATATACGGCTTTAGATTTAAAAAAAAAAAAAAAAAAGAGGTTTGAGGGCGTTGTTGACTAGTGTGTCTATTCTTTAAGAACAAAAGTTGTACAACTCCGAGTCACGTGCTCACTGCCATCTCCTCTCTGCCCCTGT